TTTAAATTGAAGATTGAATTCATTCATTGTATTCATATAAAGTCAAGGAGTGTAGCTGTAAAAAATCATAAAAATCGGAGTTAAAATAACAGTTAAATCGTGAATTTTCTTTTTATAACCGTTGAAAATTTTTGTTCGGTTACTTGATCTCTGAAGGTTTGTTTTTTGCGATTTTTTAATGATGCAATCTCGAAGCATATACAAACAAGTTTGACGGTTGGATCATTGAAATTAGTTTCGTATAATTCGTATTCCATCAAGTTCAATGGTATATATATATATATATATATATATATATATATATATATATATATATATATATATTTGTTAAGTAGATTTAAATCTATTTATGATGTACGTATAATTATTATAGTTTTAGGGGTATAAAATTTAATTTAAAATTATATATATATAATTATTATAGTTAATTTAATATATATATATATATATATATAATTATAGTATTTTTTAGGGTTATAAAATTATTAAATTAATATTATGCTTATCGTGTATCGTGTTACCCACGTGTATACCCGAACCAACTCGTTATCTTAACAGGTGCTTATCGGGTTACTCGATAACAACCGATTCGTTATCGTGTCGACCCGAACACCTGTTAATTTCGTGTCGTGTCGTGTCGGGTTATCGGGTCGTGTCAGGAATTGCGAGGCCTACCAGGTTCTAATTCTTTAGTGTGATAATGTATCTGCCATTTCTCTTGCTTCAAATCCAGTTTTCCATGCTTGAACGAAACATGTTGAAATAGATTACCACTATATCCGTGAACTGGTTTTAGCATCTCTACTCAAAGTTCAGTTTGTTCACAGTATCAATCAAATTGCAGATATTCACACTAAGTCTCTGTCCAAAGTTCAATTTCAGTTTCTCAGGTCTAAGCTTTCACTTTGTTCTCCTTCGTTCAGCTTGAGGGGGTGTAAAGACACACATTATCCTCAGTCAACTCAACAATGCCATCTAGAGTCTAAGTCATCAACACAATCAGCAATTACTTAGTCTTTAAGTTTCTTGTTGTAACTAATTCACAGATTAAGATTAATTAGTTACATTAGTTGATAACTAAGTATTATTAGCTGCTGTGTATAAATACCCCTAATGTAATCAGTTTCATTCTCAATGAAAGATATATTCCTTATATCTCTAACTGAAATGGTCTTAGCTCCTAATTAATAACACGGGTTAATCTCAGTTTACTATCCTGAAGTTTCTTGGTTTTCAACATTTCATACATCAAGTTTTTTTTGTCCCAGTCTAGTACCTAAAGTCATAATTCTAGGACACTTCATCAGAACCTCCGTTAACTAATGATTTGGCGCCCACGTGAACAATAACTGAGCGCCAAAGGTCAGTATGGGCCCAAGTGGATATTAAAAAATTAAAAAAATTAAAAATTACAAAATTGAAAACCTAAAACCTAAAAGAAGAACCCAACATCATGCTCAACTCCCCTATCTTTCCAAACCCCAAAACCAGAAGCACCGTCTCTTGCTTTTCCAACCCCCCCTATTTCCTGAACCCCAAAACCCATGAAAAAGTTCAACCAAGGAGTAGCCGGAGTCGAAGATGATGGTGGTGCAGAAGAAGAGGAAAAGATTAGGGAAGACAAAAGATTTTTTTTTTTTAACAATATGTACCTCGGTCTATGACGAAAGAAGATGCTCCCATGTCTAGCTCGTACATATTTATTTGGTTGAAATTGGAGTAGACATCCAAAAAGCTTAGCAATTCATGCCCCACCGTGGAATTTATAAGTAAGTTGATCTGAGAGAGAGTACGGATCCTTGGGGCATGCCTTGTTCAGATCGGTGAAGTATACGCAAACTCTCCACTTCTCGTTTTCTTTTGTACAAGTACCACATTTGCCAACCAATCGGGGTGGTGGACTTCAACGATGAGGTTAACGTCCTTAAGTTTGTCAATCTCTGACTTAATGATGTGCCATGATTCCATTTTTATTGGATAACGCGCTTGGCAGTGGGATTCAAATGGAGTCAATGCTAGATGATGAAAGCGTCAATCCTTAACATATCCTCTGCGGACCATGCAAACACATCTTTGTTGGCTTGTAAGAAAGTAGTGAATGGTTTTTTCTCGCAGTCGGATAGCTTAGATTCTATCCTCGCTCCACGCTCTGGTTTGTCGGGGTCGAGACTGATATAGATAACATCCTCGTTGGCTTTGAATTCCAGAGCGCTATCGTCTTGGGGGTTAAGGTCCAAGCCAAACTCTTTGCAGTTTGCTTATTGACCCCCAGATTATGATTGCTATGCTATTTTGTTCATGGCAGTGTTAGAGCTCCGTTCTTACTTCTAGATAGCGTTCATACTTTCTACCACGCAGCAACGTGCCCCCACTTGGTCTCCCATGATATCTTTGACTCTGCTGGGCATTAGGTAACAAAGAAAATGGTGTTAAGACGAGGGGATTGCCCTCATCTTGTGGAGCTAGTTTCTTTTAACTATGAAATTGTCAGAAGTTGGGCAATCCACTTGAACCGTAACTTTTACTATCCCGAGAGACCAGATGGGAGTTTTTAAAGGTGTAGAGAGTAGTCTTACTTTTATTACTGTTGTCTTGGATCCTCATTTTCTCGGTTGCGTCCTTGAAAATGATGTTAACCCTGGACCCGTTGTCCTCTAAGACATGGCTGGCTATAAAGTTGGATTTTTTAACTTTGATGACGAGAGCATCATTATTAGGGAGTGGACATCCTCTAAGTCATGGCTAAGTCCCGGTTCGAGAACATCAGGATGTTAGAATCGATTATGGGAGATTTGTTGATAGTTGCCACCAACCAGAGCTTCTTGCATGCATTTTTCTTTCCTTGTTGGTTTTTCCCAAGTATTCTTGTCCTCCGTAAATGCAGTTGACATTGAACGCGGGACCTTCGGCTGGGTCCTGGCCTTTTAGGAATCCCTGAGCCTTATTAGGCTTCTTACATGAAGTTTTAGAAGTGCAGCGTTAGTGATTCGCTCGTAAGTTTAGATCAGCAGTTCTTGTTGGGGTCTGAACAGGCATTGCTTCCACCGCGGGTTCCCCAAAACTCGAGATGACCTTCTCCAATGCTTTCATGCGCCTTTTCAGGTCAACAAGTCTCACGTGCTCTTTGTTTCGCGAGTCATTTTGAAGCTTATCGACGGCCACATAAATCTGTAACATGTTTTTCCAAATTCATTATATATATAAGCGGAGCGTCCTCGTTGACAGAACCTACGCCGTGCATTGATGTGGCACAATTACACTGTGATAGTGTTAGAGTAGTCATAACAGCAGTGGGGTGGTCTGATCAGGAGGTTTTTTTAGTTCAACTCTGAATGAAAGTACCAATTGTTGGAACCAAATCTGCACATCGCCACCTGTGGCGGAGATGCCCAAAAATGCTAACCTGTAAAAAAACAACAACCATAACCAAGCCAACGACCGAATTGGGTGTGCCGATCCAAGGCTATCAAACGGTCAGGTTAGCAATATTAAGACTCAAGCAATGGACAAGAGAAATACAGAGATTGCGTAACCAGAAATGAAGCCTAGAATGGTGTTTATGCCAATCAAGGAGAGGGCCTTTTAGAATATTAGAATCCTTATTAGACTGGGAGAATCCATGAGGATATCTAGGAAGAAGATATTGTATCCTTTTAAAAGTGTGATTACTTGTAGTTGCATGTCAATCCTTAGATTGTAAGGACTCTAAGATTATAGGAAACATGTTGATTCCTTGCTGGATTAGGTTCTCGAATCTTGCGGAACAAACATGGTTTATCTCAGCGAAGTTGATGGACTTCGCCCACTGATTCTGAAACAAGATGATGGTGGCTTCGTCGATCTGTTTAGTCAGCTCCGCAATCGAGGTTGTTGAGTCCATGATTGGACTTCTAAGGTAAACGTATTATGATCCGTCTTACTCCATCCCTAAAAAATCATGGTCCCACTGGGTGGTTTTAAGAAAGTGGAGTGATTGCAGTTGAGACGAGTGTGGGAGAAAAGTTGCAGTTTTGTTTTTTTTTTTCCTTTTAAATTTGGTTCTATTTTGTTTATAGTAAGAGATGTTGAGCGGAGGGATGTGGAGTTTGATTTTATGTTTTAATCTTTAATTGGTTTCTTTTTTGTGGTTTGGTATATTTATAAACGATTTAATTATATGATTATTTTTTGTCAGTTATGGGTAAAAGATTAGAATCGTCTTTTTCATATTTTTCATATCAATATTTCCACCAATACATTTTGAATCCTAGATCTAATGTAACTAGATAAAAATCACACATTATGTGTGTGTTTAAATATTTGATAAAAAAAATTGGAAAAAAAAAGGGAAAAGTAGGAAGTGTGTGAGAGAAAGTGGAGGAGTAAAAACTATGATTACATGTGGATGAGTGAAGGAAAAAAAAAACCATAAAAATTTGTTTGTGCGAAATTACTTTAATTCCTATATTTTTTTTTCTTTTATAATATTTTTTCAGTTATGATCAATCACAAACATCCCAAGTTACTTCTGTCCTGCTCATGATCAATCACAAACGTACAGGCCTTATTAATTAGTGAAAACGAGTCTAATTAGAGTCTTATCCAATTCGTCTTTTAAAGAGGAATGAATCCATGTACTCATTTGGGGAAGAAATATAACTACTTTGCCACTTAAATTGGGTCTCTCGTAAAGGTCGATGCCTTTTCTGGCGACTATCGTTTTCCCACAATCATATTGCACCTGGGGCGGGCACTTTCATGAAGATAGGAACTGAATAAGTGACAGCATAACCCTACTTTCTCCAATCCCTAACCAATCAGCATACAGAATTCAGCCACGTCAGCTTCCCACTAGGGCATAAGTACCTTCACCTGGCAGTTTATCCCAGAAGTACAGCCTCACGACCTAAATCGCTTTGAAAGCCCCGAGACAGATCTACAGAGCTTCACTCACCATTGTCATCTCCAAGTATTGCACAGCCTTTGCTTTAATCCCTAATCAATTCTTGCTACAGCTGAAAATGGCCGGAAGAGAAATGACCAGCAACAGTCATATTTCTAGCACCGGGGCTAACAACAATCTCCAAAACATGAATTATTCTGAGAATTTCGGAGAAGAGTCCCCAATTCCAAAGCTCCAACCCATTGAGAAGTAAGTTCTGTGAAATAAGCTAGAGATGTAATTAATTAAGCTCAAATATATGGACAAGCATTGCTTATCTTTCTCTTGTTGATCACTTTTCTAGGTTTTTTTTTGTGTTTTACTTTGTTGTCATCAGCATCATGATTCTAATCGCATTAGGGTTTGTTTTTCTTCAGATCCGTGAAAGAAGTGTGTGCAGGGTCAAGTAGTAAGATTACAAAAACGGTTGAGGCGTACTGCAAATCAGGATTAGAGCTCTGGGTTGATTTAAAGGTAATTAAGTAAGATTAGACAAGTTGATTGTAGCAGCGTGGTCACCCTTTTGCCCCCAAGTTCAAATCTCCTCCTTGTAGATTAGAGTATTTTAATTAGAATGTCTTGTAAAACGAAGTAAAATTTACTAAAAATCTTTTTTTTTTTTCATTTTGATAAGATTGTCGGATACGAAGCACTTGAGTCTCATAAAGTTAACCTTCTATCTATCATCATTTCGATCTGCTTCGATATTGTGTCCTGTTAACCTAAAGCAAAATCTTTTTTAATTTTGTGTCATGTTAACCTAGCTCAGTCTTTTTTCATTTGTGTTATCAAATTTTGTCAAATTCAGTCGTCATACTTTTGGTTAATTTTCAGACAGATAGTCCACAACTTCATTTAGATCATATGGACCTACCTCAACTCACTGTGCCGGCACCCCCTCAAGGCTCATCCCCACAAGCTGATCACCTCTCAAATTTTGGCTCACAGATGCTTCTTGCAAGCAACAGTATCCAAAGAGCCAGTGACCTACTCGTTTCAGTCTCACTAGGTGCTGAAATGAACAGAATCAAAACCACTGAGCTAGCTTCTCAAGCAATGGAAGAGCTGAAAAAACTGGCTTTGGCTAGAGAGCCTCTTTGGCAAGTTGACATAGAAAACAACACTGAAATACTGAGTGAGATCGAGTATACGAGGGAATTTGGGGATATCAGCACCACATTGATGGAGATAGTGAGAATGGTTGAGGTAAGAGAGTCTCCATCTCTGCCAAACTTGGACCTTAACAATTCTGAATATTCAGTAGGAAGTAATGAACATAAGCCAAGGGAACTTGGAGGACCAAAGCCTGCTAGTTTTGAAGCTTCACGAGAAATTGGTTTTGTCCAAATGAATCCCGCAAGCATTATTGAACTGCTAATGGATTTGGTAGGTTCTCATTTGAGAATTAACTTAGTTTACTTTTTTAAAGCAAGTTTGAACAAAGAATCCTAAAATGCTAATAATTGCTTAAATTTTGTTTGATAATTAGGGGCAGTGGTCACAAGCATTTTCTACTATCGTCTCTAGGGCATCGATCATGGGAGTGTTGTCATCCACTGGAGTACAAGGAAACTATGATGGAACTCTTCAAGTGGTAATATGAAAGCCCTATTTATAGACACAATCGTGCATGTGTGATGACTATATATGCTCTATTCATTGGTGTGAGATTCACATACTGTGAGCCCCACACTAATTAACCGCTAACGCTAACACTCCTCTTATGTTTATTAAACCGTAAAACTAACGATCTCAAGTTATTAATTGTTGTTTCCAGATGACAGCTGAATTTCAGGCCCCTGCACCTTTAATCCCAACTAGAGAAAGTTATTTTGCAAGGTATTGCAAAAATCTGGGCGACGGCATGTGGGGAGTTGTGGATGTTTCCTTGGAAAAATTGTTTCAACTTCCATCAAGAAACTTTCGAAGACAACCATCTGGTTGTTTGATTCAAGAGATGCCAAATGGATGGTCTCAGGTGACCTTACACACACACACATATTAAGTAAAATTTTCAATTTACTCAGCATGGTTGAGAAAAACTTAATTAATTAATTAATCTACAAAATTGCTTCCTTTTGATATGCTAGGTTATATGGGTAGAACATGTGGAGGTAGATAATACACTTGTTCATAATCTTTTTAAGCCGTTGGTCAGTTCTGGTTTTGCATTTTCCGCAAAACGTTGGGTTACCACTTTGATTGGACAACGTCAATGGCTGGAAACTTTAACGGCTACAAGAACTACTCTTGCAGCTGATGGAGGTAACTATTTTTTTCTGCAGCTTGGAGTTAAATAATTCTACTCTTGCAGCTGGTGGAGGTAAATAATTCTACTCTTGCAGCTGATGTTTCATCACAAGGAAGAAGAAGCCTATTGAAGCTTTCGGAGAGGATGGTAAGAAGTTTTTACATTGATAATATCTGCGGTTCTGCTGAGAACAAGTGGATGCCACTGCCATTGGGCTGGCCAATCTCTGGTGCTGAAAATGTAAGGATTTCAATGAAGAGTAGCACAGATGACCCTGGAAAGCCTCCAGGTAGCACAGTAGTGTTTACTACTTCCATAAATCTTCCTTTCCCTCGTAAACAAGTATTCAGTTTCCTTCGCGACGAGAAATGTCGAAATGAGGTATGCACTACTTAACTTTGAATGAAGTGATGTTTTTGTAAAAATAAGCATACAAAATTTACCTTAATTTATTTTAAGTTTTGAGCCATTAATATACTAAAATTGTTGAGAATGAGTCCCACATTGATGGGAGGAGTGACCTTGCATGGGCTTATAAGAGGTTGGGTGAATCCCTATATTGCCAATTGGGTTTATGGTGGAACCCGTCAACTTTTTTCATAGTATCAGAGTAGGTTGTCCCACGTGTGAAGCCAAATAGTCACATCTACTCCACGTCACCCCGTTGTGTTAACCATGTGTTAGGCTTGAAAATTCTTCACACTCGAGGCGGCATGTTGAGAATGAGTGTGCTCCACGTCATCCTGTTGTGTTATTCATGTGTTAGGCTTGAAAATTCTCCACACGCAAGGGGGCGTGTTGAGAATGAGTCTCACATTGATGAGATGAGGGACCTTGCACGGGCTTATAAGAGGTTGGACTACTCTCAATATTACTAATTGGTTTTATGATGGAACCTTAGCTTTCTTCAAAAATGACCAAACGAAAGAAAGATGGAGATCATCGTTAGATCTTGTACGTACTGAAAACTAGGAGTTGGACTTGAAAAATGAAAAAATTATTGTTTGTGATGGTAGGTCTATGAGACATGCCAACGTAGTGTTACGATGAATCACTTTTAAGAAGCTTTGTACATGAAAGTATTTATTCATCTTGTAGTAAATACATATTTATATAACACACTTGCATGCTTTATTTAGAAAGCTGTTACTAGCACTTTAAAAAGTTTTCATGCATTTCTTCCTAATTATGAAAATACAGAAAGAGATAAGTATATGATGACTATTTTGAAGTGTTGAAAATAATTTTCTTTAATTATTTATTAATTTCTAATCTTGCATCCGTAAACATAGCGAACACAAACCTTAAACCCTAAAGCTTATACGTAAGAAGTAACATTCTTGTTTTAATTATTTAGAAACCTTAATTTTCATTGACCAAAAAAGAAATTTTAGAATCCTTAATTTCATGTGTAAACATCTATTCCAAAGAGATCGTGTTGATTTCCATTTACTTTGTGTATATAATACAGTGGGATATGCTTGCATCAAACCATGGCTTCGATGAATATACATATTTTGCTAATGGCAAAACTCCAGGAAATCGTGTTTCCATATTGCGAGCCTTTAAGTCCAATGTGAGTTGCATACATGTACCCCTAACTTGTTTTTTTTTTTTTTGCCCTTTTATAAGTTAAAAATGTTTTAAGCTTGACTTCAATTTGTGTTAACACAAAATTTTGATTTAATTTGGAGGAATAAAGGAGGTTGAAATATTCTACTTGCAAGCAAGTTATACTGACGCAACAGGCTCATACGTTGTTTATGCACCGATCGATATGTATGCCATGACAGAGCTCATAAATGGTGGAAACCCAGATAATTTGGCTATTTTGGCTTCAGGGTTTTCAATCCTTCCTGATAAGCCAAAGCACCGGGACGATACTGGCGGAAGTCTCTTGACAATTGCCTTCCACGTTGCTGCTGGAACTTCAACTCAAGAACATGTGTCTGCTCATCAACATGCCAATCTTATGTACTGTGTTCTTGCATCAACTGTTGTTTCAGTTGAGGATGGATTACAATCTACCTAATTGCTAAATCTTAAATCGGTGAGTTACTCAAGTTCTGTAGGTTTAAATTTACTAACAGTATTTTAAGTTGAGGTGCTAGAAATTCGAAGAAACTTCAATTGCTTCGCCCATTACATGGTGGAACTGATATTTAATTTTTCTACTTTATGATTTAGGATTAATTTTCTTCAACGCTATGCTTTACATTCCTTTTTGTTGTATATTACAACATATGTATACTTTATTGTTTATCTCAAAGTGAGTAGCTAAAAAATAATGGGAAAAAAGCCACATAATAAGAAAAGGAAATTGTTTCTGCACTTTTTTCCCTCATTCTGTATACTTTTGTTTATTTTTGTTCCGTAATTCTCTTTTGCATTATTAAGTTAATCAGCCAAACAGAAATAAGAGTGAGGACAGAGAAAAAGAATGTAACTCACTTCCCATAAAAATAAAAATAAATAAAAAAAGGGGGAAGGAGCAAGACTATACAATATGTATAAGGTATATTGTAAATTGTCCTAGAGATTACATTTATTATATTTCTCCGTAGAGATTACAATATGAATCAAACAACTATATGTTGTCAAGTGCAAACTCACACATGCGCATGCAGAAAAAGAGAGGGGGAAGAGGAGGAGGAGGAGGAGGAGGAGGAGGAGGAGGAGGAGGAGGAGGAGGAGGAGGAGGAGGAGGAGGAGGAGGAGGAGGGGGGGGGAGTTAATTATAGTTGCAGTAATGAGCTTCCCCAATGGTATTGACATTATATATAGAAGCTCGTTAAATGTATGTAAAGCCCTCTCGAATTGTTAGTCTTTGTTGATGAGTTTAGGTCTTTGTATATCTTTTACCATGTATAGTGTTGAAAGAATTCATCAGTGGTCAAGGTACTAGTTGCATCAGCAGCATCAATCATATGCAACATCAGTTAATCAGTCATATGCAGCATCAATTTCAAGGTACAAGTTGCATCTGCAACTTCATCTACTCACATGTGAGTTGCAGCCGCCACTGTGCATCCTTGTGTCATTTGGTGAATGAGATAAAGCTGCATCTGCAACTCCATACCTCCCATATCAGTGGCTTATAGCTGTCTTTTGTCTTTAGCTGCTAGTCTTGCTCGGTCTTTCTATATAGAGCCTTCACTTGTAATTGTTACTTATGAATGAATACAAACAACCACTTTGAACTAGAAATCAACATGGTATCAGAGCAGGAACCATAATTGGCCTGCCTCTGATTTATTCTCTACTGTATTTTTTTTTCTTCTGTTCATCCCACGAAAATGGCAGAAGACAACCCTTTGGTTTCAGAGGCTACGAGTTTCTCTACTTCAACTTCCAGCATCATTCATGGAGAGATCAATCATAATCAAAGGATGTGCTCTGTGTTGTTAAATGAATTCAACTATCTACCTTGGTCTCATGCTGTCACGCTTGCCTTAGGAAGAAGATCCAAGATAGGGTACATCAATGACAACATTAAACCTCCTGAAACTACCTCTACGTCTTACGATGCATGGTTGTGTAATGACCAACTGGTTATGTCGTGGATGCTCAACTCCATGGAGCCCAAGCTATCTGAGCTTTTCAGATACTCAGAATCTTCATATATTCTTTGGGAAGCAGTCAAAAAGATGTACAGAAGTCAAAACAACGTTGCTCGTGTGTTCCAACTCAAAAAGAACCTTGCTAGTTTAAAACAAGGTGATCAAGCATTTGTTTAACACCTTGGAAGCTTGAAGAACATGTGGAACGAACTAGATTTGTATCGCCTACACACCACTGATTCCGCTGTGCTTCTGAAGAGGGCTGATGAAGACAAGGTTTTCCAAATCTTGGCTAGTTTGGGACCAGAGTATGAAGATCTCAGGAGCCACCTTTTGATAACTCATGAGCTTCCATCGTTTGCAAGTGTGTGTCAAGCTGTGCAAAGAGAAGAAACACGCAAGAAAGTGATGAGTGTCGAAATCAAGACCAACTTTGAAGCTAAAGCTTTCAATGTCAATCACAAATTAGCTGGGGACAAGCAGTTCAAAGGAAGGAGGTCAGATTGGAAGTGCACTTACTGCAATGGTGGTGGTCATTTGAGGGAGTGTTGGATCCTACATCCTGAATTAAGACCTAAGTTTGAAAACAGGTCTTTCAGAGATGTAAAAGGTTCGCTCAATCACTCACAAAACTCATGCTCCAAAGGCCTATCATGCAGCAAGCACATCTACTGATGAACTGGTAAATTTCACCTCCAACCTTGTTAATTTAATAAAGTAGTTTGCTGCCTATATACAAAGGAAGAAGGGAAGCACTGAGAGTGAGGATCAAGCCACTGGAAATCCCACTACTTTACTTGGGAAATTTGCTGGATTCTTGGCTGATTCAGAATGTGTACCACAAAGAGACATCTCAGGTATAACAAGTGCACTTTCCACTGCTCTAAATATAGGTATTTCACATGATGTTTGGATTATAGACTCAGGTACCACTGACCATATGACAAAAAAAGTATCCAGTTTACATGAGTATACTTAGTTACATAAACCTAGCCATGTATATGTGGCAAGTGGTAAGGGGGAACTTATTCTAGGTAAAAGGAAGATAAACTTGATGAGTGATAAGGTTGAGTCACCTGCACTTTATGTTCCTTCTTTCCCTTTCTAACTGTTGTCTATTGGAAAGATTACAAAAACATTAGATTGTCTTGCCATTTTCTCTCATCACAATGTTGTTTTTTAAGACCGAGTCACCAAGAGGAAGATTGGTGAAGGAGTCAATCTAAATGGTTTGTACTACCTGTCAAGGGATATCAACATTGTCCAAGAACACCAGCTTTGGCTATTTAAGTCTTGATCAAGAACACCAGCTTTGGCACTAAAGATTAGCTCATCCTTCTGAACAAGTGTTGTCTGCTGTGTTTCCTAAGTTTTGTAAAGATTCACAGGAATATGAGACATGTCAACTCTCAAAAGCTACTAGACTTCCTTTTGTTTCATCCAAGTCTATAACCAATAGTCTTTTTGAAATTGTTCACTCCGATGTTTGGGGTTCCTCGAGGGTAGAATCATTTGGTATATGTACTATGTTACCTTTGTAGATGATTACTCTAGGACTACTTTGTTGTACCTATTGAAGTTTAAAAGTGAAGTGTTTGATGCCTTTAAAGACTTTCACAATCTTGTTAAAACTCATTTTTCCTGCAAGATACATACACTTAGGTCTGACAATGGCATTGAGTATACATCTAACATCATGTCAATCTATTTAAGCACTCATAGAATTACGCATCAAACAAGTTGTGTTGGTACACCACAACAAAATGGTGTTTTCGAGAGAAAAAATAGGGATTTGTTGGAAAAAAAACCAGGTCCTTGATGTTTCAAATGAATGTTCCCAAGATGTTTTGGTCCCAAGGCATTCTTACTGCCACTTACATCATTAACAGGTTGCCTAGTTGAATACTGAGTTCTAAATCACCCTATGAGATCCTTAAAGGAAGAACCATGGATGTATCTCACCTCAGAACTTTTAGGTGCATTTGCTTTGTCCACATTCAAGTTGCTCAATGTGACAAATTGGAACCAAGAGCTACTAAGTGTGTATTCATAGGTTATTCAAGTTCTCAGAAGGGTTACAAGTGCTATAATCCAAGCACTCGAAAAATCATAGTGTCTAGAGATGTGGGATTTGATGAATTCACTCCCTATTTTTCAAATAACTCTGAGTCTATTTCGCAGGGAGAGAGTTTCTTGGAATCCTTTCCACTTCCTACCCCAGCTAAAGTGCATGAATGTAGCTCCCAATTGCTCTCTATTAATCATACTGATGATCATGTGAGTTGTGAAAATTCCACTGATCTTTCTTAAACTCAAGATCAACTCTAAGAAGCTATGATTGTTCTAAGGAGAAACCCTACCAAAGATAAGCAACCACCTGCAAGGTTTCAAGAGTATATGGCTTATACTGCAAGGCATCCTATTTCTCAAGCTGTTACTTATAAAACTTTGTCTTCATCTCATGCATCTTTCCTTGGTCTGTTGTCTAATGAAATTGAACCTAAAAGTTTTCAAGAAGCTAGTGTCAATCCAGGCATGAAGAACTCAAGGCCTTGGAATGATAATCACACATTGAGTGTTGTCAAGCTTCCCAAAAAGAAGAAAATTGTGGGAAGTAGGTGGATTTACAAGACAAAATTTTGCTCTAATGGTGAAATTGAAAGGCATAAGGCCAGACTAGTAGCTAGAGGATTCACTCAAACATATGGCATTGATTACAAGGCGACATTTGCTCCAGTTGCCAAGATGAACACTGTGAGAGTTCTACTATCTGTGGCTGTTAATCATGAATGGCCCTTGTTCCAAATGGATGTGAAGAATGCATTTCTTCATGGTGACCTTGAAGAAGAGGTATACATGAGATTACCACCCAGACATCCTCAAGAGAATGAAACTAATATGGTATGCAAACTTCACAAAGCCATATATGGACTCAAGCAATCTCTTCGTGCATGGTACTCCAAACTAAGCTCAGTTTTGGAAGCTGCAAGATTCAAAAGAAGCCATGTTGATTCTTCCTTATTTGTTCGAATTGGTTCAGCTGGTAAACTCGTGGTACTTATATATGTTGATGATTTAATCATTACAGGAGACAATATTGATGAACTTAATGCTCTTAAGCAATCCCTTCACCATAAATTTGCAATCAAAGATTTGAGAGTTCTCAAATATTTTCTTGGGATTGAGATTGCTACTTCTAATAAGGGTATGTTCTTAAATCAAAGAAGATATGTGTTGGATTTTCTTGATGAGGCAAAAATGATGGACTCCAAACCTGCCCGTACTCTTTTGGTCAGCAAGCTCAAGTTAGATGTTAAAGGCGAATCTTTAACTGATCTCAGCACCTATCAAAGATTAGTTGGGAAACTCATTTATCTTACTATTACGAGACCAGACATTGCTTATACAGTGAGTCTCATTAGTCAGCTCAAAGGCTCAGTGGGAAAGGATATTCTCATGAAGAAAAATGGTT